CAATACATGTTCCAATGTTCAGGCAGCTCTCACAAGATGCAATCTCAATCTAAGTAAACTGTTGAAAACATGTATCCTTATGCAAATACCTGATAGCCAACGCAGCCTGAGCTTCTTGGCCCCGCTCCAACTTATGCAGAACAGACATGCGATTGGCCTCTCGCGATGTTCGGCTGGCGATAATGTCCAATACCAGAGCCGCATCGCCAATCCACAGCCACTTTGATATATACTGCAAACGCATCATCCGCGATTTGTAGCCAAGAATACTGTAGCCGACCAAGTCCCATACTCTGTAACTTGCACCGAAGACTGTGTCCCCATGAGTGCAACTGCGAATCTTGGAACTGAAAAAGCACAACAATATGCAACAAGCCTTTGCGACCAATGAATGTCAGCTTGAGGAAGATTCAGGCACTCACGTTTGAAAAGGGAAGACTGGTGATGTTCAATCTCGTGGCAAACCTGCGATCGAGGCCGAACTTAATGGCTGCTTCGACCATCTCATGCTTGTCGGAACTTTCCGTCAACAACTTAACAACGAAATTCACACGCTCGTTAAGCTCGCGAAACTTGCCTTTGGTACTGCTGCTTGAAGCTCTGCATCCACGCTTCAACATGCTCCGGTGACGCTCTTTGGTCGATTGTCCTTCAGCGACGGAGTGGCCTTCCCACTGAGAAGTTTCCGAACTTTACTGGAGGTGTCTGCCTCCTCTGCTTTGCGCTTCTTACCACGCTGGCTTTCAATGGGCAACTCTCCTGCAAACTCTTGCTGCTCTGGACTTGTGCTGACATGAGAAGGAGCACTAGGATCTGCATCTTTGCGAGAGGTCAAAGTGAAACTAACTTGAGCAATTTTAACTTTTGCTTTGATCAACTCTTCTGCATCAGCACTAGAGGAAGTGGAGGGTGTGGGCAAGCGAGATTTGATTTCTTTCAGAAGAACATCCACCAACGATTGCATGAACGGCTTGCTTATGCTTGTCTGGCACTGGAAGCTGGAAGCCCTTGCTCTTTCAGACACTTCAAAGCTAAAGAATCCACATCAGCTTTCATCTCACGAATGCCTTTAAGAAGCTGCGCGACCAGCACGCTCTCAGCTGTGTTACGCGTCTACACCATGGATTGAAAGCGTCCTTCTGCTAGCATGCGCAGCAATAACTCACTCACTCCTCTAAAGCATAGCTCGTGCACTCGCAGATCTTCCACTGGCCTTCCAGCTATCTGCGCTTTCCTGGACCAGTCGGTAGACTGGACCACACGATAGGACTGATGATTGCCTGATCCGACAGCAGTCGAATCAAAGAATTTCTCGTCGCTCTTGAAGTGCGTAGGAGTGTCCGGCTTGGGGGCCTGAACAGTAGGAACACTAGTGTGCCAAGACTGCTGCTTTCCTTTGTTCCAGTCTCAACTACTCTGGTAGCCTGAACTGTTGGACCACTGTCGCGCATCCGAGCTCCATATGGCTACTCACCGAACATCGGCTTGGCTTTCAGATCTGCACTTGAACCACTCAAAGCGTCATTCGAAAGCAATCTCGGCAATGCAGTACTCAGTTGGAGACGTTGAAAGACACATCTTGATAGTCAGCAGACTGGATCTCTGGCAAGTCATCAGACGGTAGCGTGTCAGCAAGCCTAGGTCAGGCTGTTCCGATCGGGGAACAGCAACTGGTCATCAGCATGACCATCATACGGGCAACCCCGGAGCAGACAGCGCGCTGAACGAATGCTGTCTGGAGCACACATGTGCGGGTCCCCAATCTAAGCTTTGATACGTAATGTTGTGCCTGATTACATAACCGACTATCTCAATGCAATCTCACTCACTCTTGCCAAGGAAAATTGTTTGTACGTGACTGAGCGTCCTCAGTCACTTCCCTTCCAGTGACCTAGCTTCGTTGGATCAGGTCAGTCACTGGAAGCCTGATCCCCCTGCTGACTGTCATGCTGGCAACGCTACTTGAAAATCCTTGGTACAGGAGTCACGCACACACAGACACACACAAACAAACACGCGTCGACTTCCGGGGCGGTCAGCGCTGCAAACTGGTTGATCAGCCCCTACTGGCGTTGTACCTTAGCGAGTGACCGCGGCGTTCAGCCTTGCCAGGAATCAGGAGGTGTGCATCGTACATCCACATTCAGCTGAGCATGCAAGGATTCAAACCTCAGTCCACGAAAAGCACCTTCGAGTCCGGCTCGATCACATCGGCCTGGAAAACAAACGTTGGTTGCACCGGCCAACCGGCCAACCTCTTTCGGACGCCGCTCTCAGTGGAAAGCATCCCCGATCTTCAACTCCGAGAGGATTGTCAGCTGAATTTTGAGGACGTTGAGGTAAGGGAGGAGGATATTTGCATTGCCGGCCGGGTTCCAGAAGTAGCCCGACTCCTCTGTCGGCATCTCGTTTGGCGTGTCCACACCCCAATCGTCCCGGCCCATTCTCTCCTCCTACCCGATGATATCGTCGGCCTCGCTCATTACGATCTCGTCGATCTCCTCCGGCGCGTAATCCCGGCTCGGGTTTTCCATTTCCTGCTAGCCTCCTCCCCGTGGACGCAGGAATCGACGAGCTCGACTCGCAGCGGTGTCCACGCTCATGTCGGTGTCCGACCCCGTGGTCGACCAACCAGAGCGCCACTCATACGAAAGACCGAGGATTTCGATAAACGTCCAATGTGTCGCCTTTGTCCTCACTGCGCGCCTTTAGCTTGGTTTGCTTTGGCCAGCTTCTGCTTCTTGGCATCGGTGCCAAGAGGGTCTTTGCACTCGGATTGGCCGTAGGAACCGCCACCAGAGCTTCGCCTGCCAATGTCAACACCCATCTGCTCGCGCACCAGCCGCATATGCGGATTTGTTTGCCCCCAGCCCGCCCCGGAGGTGTGGTCGCACTTTGCCGGCTTCTTGCGGCAGCGGATTCCGCTGGAGCTGGAAGGCATTCGCAGCTGCCATCGCTGCCTGGTTGCCCATCATCGTCACCGCCGTGCAGGGCTCCATGTAAGCCTGCAGCACGAGACCCTTCAACTTCGGGCGGAGCGTGGCCGCCGAGTGGTAGAGCACCGCCTGCTGGGTCGTGCGAATGAACTCCTGCAGGTGGTCAGCAGCATCCGCCAGTTGAGGAGCCATGCCGGCGGAGGTTCTCGGCCATGTTCCGCGCTGCTGCCTGCGAATTGATGCTGAGAAGGATGGAAGGAGGTCTCGGCACGTCCACGTATTTTTCCACAATCGGGCCCGTCTCAGTGCCCAGCATCCAAACATCGATGGCGATCGGCACCGCCAGCCCCGCTGGAGCCCTTTCCAAGGCATTCCAAGGCCGCCGCTCGGTTTGCCGCTCGGCTTCCCTGACCCTTGCCTTCAACGTAGAAACCACGACTCCGCACAAGCACTGCGAGTTTAAGTCACAGTGAAGGCTTCCGCAACTGCCAGCGTTTTGAGGGGGCGGATCATCTCCAGAAATCAACTCCTCGTCGGCGTCCGACGGGTAGTCGTCCTTAGACCCTTTGGTAAACCCGTAATACATGCATGCCCGGAGGGTACTGGATGCGGAGTGCCTCGAGGCCCTCTTCATCTTGTATTCATTCCCAAAGCAACACGGATGCCAACGACTTCTGGTCAAGCTTGAGCCCGTCCAGCAATTTTATGACCCTTGCCTGCTCCGGGTGCTCGGGAACCTTATTCTCGGCCAGCTTCCTTTCCAGGAGCCTGAAGCGGCGTAGGAACGCCGTGACGTCCTCCCAATGAACTCAAACTCCGAATGACACCACGCTGCCCGAAGATCTCTCGCTCGCCAAAAGTTGTCTCAGATCTTCCAAAAGTCTGGAGATCACCCTGCTCGTTCGGCGGCAAAAATTCCTTGGTGATCCTCGCCCAGCGCAAAAGCCTTCGGCGATAACGCACGTTATAATTGCAGCACAGCTCCAGATCGCCATTTTGGCTCGCCAGTCGTGGAGCTCGCGCCGCCGCGCGTTCCTCGCTTCAGTCGTCTGCTGCTCTGGCTGGGCAAATCATCGCCATCACCAGGGTTGTCGTCGTCAGCTCACAGAGGCGCCGTCGTCGAGCTCAGCGCTCCCGGCGCTCCCAAGCTCGGAGACATCTGCGCCTTCGGCACCACAGCCGAAGTCGAACAGATCGGACTATGACTATGTCAGAAGTACTGCAATTTTGGTCGCTACCAATGAGAACTTAGCCCTGCAACTAGGAGACTGGATCTAAAACAACTCCTGAAGCAATTAGTTCATGGATTTTTTGCGCAGACGTGTACTCTTCCGAGAGAGTGGAACACGGCTTCCGTGAGTCTTCATGGCAACAACACTCGGCAAACGACTTAATTCGTCTAGCACAATGTACACAGTGCGCTGGGAAACGGGAACGCTATCCGCTCGGAAGTGGACGAAACCACCGGCACAATTGAAAAGATGCATAACACTAGTCACTAGGCGTTCTCAAGTTGACGAAGCCACTTGCACACTTGCCCACGCTTGACCCCACAGCACACACTTGACCCGCCTGCTTGACACACTTGAACCCTGCCACTTGCCAATTGAATCCCAAACCTAAACCCTAAACCCCAAGCCCTGAGCTAAACCCTAAACCCTCTGCCCTAAACTCCCAAAACCGAGCGCTAAACCCTCGACCCGCAAACCCGAAACCTGAAGCCCTCAACTCCGAGGAACCCAAACCCTAACCTCTCAACTTCAACTGAGACAAGTATGCAAGCGGGGTGGAAGGTATCGGCGTGTCAAGCGTGCAAGTGGGTCAAGCATGCCCTGCGGTCAAGCGTGGGCAAGTGTGCAAGCGGTCTCGTCCGCTTGCGAACACCGTTATGCGTCTTTGCCAGCATGCAAGTGTGCGAAAGTTTGCACTTGAACTTAGCGGCTCCCGTTTGATCGGGCAACGTCCTCAATTGATACTCAGGCTGTCGAAACTTCAAGTGGGCCGCTGTGTTGGGAGGGTGTCATGCTCACACAAAACCTTGTTTTCTGCATCTTGGCCCTCTGCACCCAGCTCGGCACCTGTAGGAGACGTAGCACTGGCACCTGTGCAAGGCCACACATTTCCCACGTGTTGCTGCCGTCCTTGCCATACAGCTTTCCTGCTTTGGATCTCCGAACATTTTGCTCCAGGGACTGCCACCCAGCATGCAGAAGCATCGGTCGTGCTCGTCTGTAAACCACTTGGGTTGAGGCTGAGAAAGTGAAGCAAGGGGATTCTGCTACCAGTCGCGCCCTCCTCACTTCTTCTGCGGACTCTCACTGTAAAGCCAGAGCCTAGTGCGGGGCTGTCACCACCGTCTTCAGCTCCCTCCACCTGCGCGGCAGGCTTTGGATTGGAAGGCGTGTCAGTGTAAGTGTGTTCGTCTGGGAATCTTGCACAGGCGTGAAGTTGACTTCGAGGCACGATGGAAGTCTCAGTCCCTTTTCACAAACAGGACAAAGGTCGACGACGTTGCACGACGCTGACGAGCGCACAGAGCATGGGCGTCCAAATCTTTTGTTTTTTGCTCTAGGTCGAAGGTTCGGTGTTTGGAACAAAAACGTACCGGTTGGGGGCAACACTCTTTTGCTTCGGCTCGGCTACAACGCGCAAAGGCTCCTGGCAGTACATGGCAACCGTGGCGGGTACTTTTTTCTCCTGTTGCAACGAGGGCTGGGGAGACCGGGTGCCTTGTGTGAAGCTGAAAGTTCCGAACGAAAGCAGTTGCCTGGAGGGGCAAGCCTTGCCGCCGGTTCAACATGAGTGTTTACTGCCACGTTGGCTGTGCTGCTCGCCGCGCTTCGGTGTGTTGTCGCTTCGGAGTGCTATCGTTTCGGAGTGCTGCAGGGTGGCTATCATCAGTTGGCTTTTGTCCGGAAATTGCAGATAAAAGCACATTCAGCTTCTATTATGTGCCGAATCAACAGATCCGTCTTTGTGGCACGTCGTAGCTGCTTGGAACTTGGATTCAGTGGTTAAGCGACCCGGGACACAAAGGGAAGAACACACAAAGTCCAAGGCCTAGAAGCCTCCAGACCAGGCACACAGGAAGCCGGGCTCCCTACAGAGCAAGCACCATGCAGCACATCGATACGGTACAAGGAACGATGTCATTCAAAGAGCACAGGCATTGCAAACTGCTCTTGAAGCCCGTGCTAAAGGTTTTGCCATAAAACAAATCCAAAAAAAGTCGCTTTTTACACTCAAGAGAAGGTTATCAGTTTGCACGGTGTACCTGAGCGTCCCAACAAGCCACATGAAAGCATTAGCTATGTTGCGGTCTCATGGCTCATGGCCGTCAGTCGGCATCAATCGCGGTACCATCGCATCCTCGTACAGCACTCCCCGCGTGTCTAGCCCACAGTGCATTGAACAACATCTAGACTATACATATGTGTTTCAGAACGAGAGACTCTGAACATGAAACAGGACGTCGTCTGGTGTCCATGGCTCTGAAACCCCGCACGTCTGCGTCCTCAACCACAACAGGCCAGCTGCCGTTGCTCGGTAGAGGAATAGTATGACAAACGCGCTAATTGCAGATCCTGCTACCGAATACAGCCTCAGGTATCCACACGTCAGTATGCGGGACCCAGGTGAAGAGGGTCCGGTGCAACATCGTTTGACTTTCGCAGCTTCTGTACAGGCATAAGCGTAGGATGCTGCATTGCATCCCCCTAGGACACCTCGGAAGGCTGCGTCTTTGTTGGCGAGTACCTGGGAAGTGCTGGGTCGAAGTCGTCACAACTCCAAACAAGAACGACCGAATACTGAACACCAAGGACTCGCTTTTGCAGAAGCCTTCCCAAGGGCGGACATAGCCCGGATCTGGACCAAGTGGGCTGGCACCGTCTCCACCTGGCGTTGGTCCGCCTCCTGCTGCGAAACAACTTTGGCGGCGCGACACGAAAAAGACATCTTGCCAGAGCAACTTCAGAAGCAGCTGCATCCGGAGAAACCTAGGGTCTCCGGTGCACGCGTCGTGCCTCGTCTTGAAGGGCAGCAGTCCCGGACCTCGACACCCAGCGTGACACTGACACAACACACGTCTCTGCTTGAAAACGTCCGCTGCAAAACGCTCGCACAGCACAATGACGTCAGTCGCTCGAGCAAACATGTTTGTCACAGTTTTTTCAAAAGGTAAGGAAGGTTCAAAGAGCCTTTCTCTCTCTCGCTCTCTCTCTCGAAGGCGAAAAGTGAGTCCAAGTCTAGACCGCTTGTCAGCAGCCCTGTCTAGCAAGCAGGCTCCTTTCAATTCTTGTCTAGGGAACACTAGCTGCCTCCATTGGGATCGATCACTGGCAAATGGTGGTTGTAACGTGCGGAAGATGTCAGTATTACCGAACCATTGCGAATGTACTTGAGAAATAGTTTGTCTGGAAGGCTGAATGTAAAAATCATGGTAATGTTCATATACCCTAGGCGGTGCGCGATGTTGAAGCAAAAAATTGATGGCGTAAATACGCCTCTGTCATGGTGAGCTCCGCCCCAGTGGACGCGTGGAACTCCTACTCTGCGCAGAGGGAGTTGTATATAATTGCGCACAGTATTGAAGCAAAGCAGTAATTCTGAAGCTGGGCATCATGCCGAAGGAGATGGCTTGAATTCACAAGGCGCGATGACTGGATATTCTGCGAAGGAGGCTGCAGCTGTGGCATATGTTCATAGGCTAGTTTGAGTAAATACTCATTGGAACATTGTTCGTCAGTGGGTGAAAGAACCCGCTGGTAAAACCAGGTTTTTGTGGCGAATATTTTGCGGAGCACTTTGAATGGATAGTGTTGAGGCGCTGTGTTTGGGATTTGGTGTGTGTCTGAGATTCTGAACTATAAAGGAGAATCGCTAACGTAATCTGTGCATGAACCAAGAGTTTGCGCTTGTAAGAGATGCTCGTGTGTCGATGGATTTAATTGTAATCCCTGCTGCTGTGTGGCGAGGTATTGCAGTAAATGAAGGAGGCGCTTTAGTGCCTGGGCAGTTCTGGCCAATAGGAGTGTGTCGTCCGCATACTCCAGGTCCGTGATCGGTCTATCGTGGGAAAGAACAGAAGGCAGAAACTGGTAAAGAGAACGAAAATGAGAGTAGAGATCTTCGAAGAGAACCGGAAGGACAATAACAAAAAGATAAGGCGACAATGGGCAACCTTGGCGGATGACTCTTACACGGAAGGTGGCAACAGTGTAAATAGCCATGACACATTGTATATAGCGGGGGGGAGACCTATGCGTAAAAGAGAGATCTGGAGAGCCTCGTGGCTTACAGAGTCGAAAGCCTGTGCCCAATCCAAGAAAAGGGCGTAGAAAGAGACTCCGTGGCACTCGTGTATCTCTAGGAGACGTCGAATTATGAACGAGGGAGTACTTGTAGACCGTGCAGTCCTGAAACCAAATTGATATGGGGAGATGCGGTCGTCTGAGGCATCCTTGATATATACGTTTGTGAAGGCGTGCCGCGTAAATTTTGTATACAGTATTAACAAGGGAGATGAGCCGATAACTCGAAGGCGATTTGGGGTCTTTCTTTTAACCCTTATAGATCACAATAACTACGGACGGGGCTCAATTTGGGGGAGCCGTGGCCTGGGAGAACATCTGATTGTAGTGAGCCAGGAGAGTTAAGCGAAAATGGCGTGGGGCAAACTTCCAGAGTTCGACTGGGATACCATCCGGGCCTGGAGCTTTTTTTTGTCGCATACGGTGGAGCGCCGCATCCAGTTCGGCTTCTGTAAAAGGCGAGTGAGTCATATCTGCTGTGGGATAAAGCATGTGTGTGTGTGCGTCCATTGGTGGAACATCTTTGTAGCCCCATACATCCTTCGAGAGGTATTTGGCCAATGTTTCGGCCTACTGAGATTTGGAGCAAATCTTTCCATGGGGCTGTAAAACCCCGTGGGTTTTGGGAAGTGTAAGGTTTTCGAACACGTTTGCGGGTGGCCCACTGTTTAGAAGGGGGACCGCGACTATCCTGAAGGAGCTGGTCACATAAGTGTTGTCGTTTATCCTTGTGACTTGGCGTCGAACCGCCTTTCGGAGTTCTTGTACTGCTAAATTGTCCGTTGATGGTGTGTTCTCTATTTGTTTTATTCGGGTCTTGGAATGAGTTAACAGATACTCCTTTTGTCTCTGGCGCTGATGGCTGGAGAGAAGCCGAAGCTGCAAGAACCTGAGAAGAAAGCTGGTCTGCGGTTTGGGAGATATGCGGCAGAACAGTATGTGAGAGTGGCAACAGAGGAAGAAGAGGTCGCACTGGGATACCCGATGTTTGAAGAGGAAACTCCTTGGAAAGCTAGTTTATCGGCGCGTGTGTTGCCGGTATTACCGGCGTGACCGCACCTTCAAAATAACGAGATCGACTAGCGTGAGGGCACGCGTTAGGTAGGAGCGGAGTTGCTCCACGAGTTGAGGGTGTGCGCGAGGTATAATCATATCATGGCACAAGTTGTGGGAGTCAATGTATATGTCGACAGGTAAATTGGAGAATCGGCTTGGGTGGCGACAGACGAGCGCTTCGACCACTGCCTGCAATACGGCAGTGTTGTTGGAGCCAATTGAGGTAAAAGAGAGTCCTTGCCCGACCGGACCGTAGGCCGTAGGAACCTTGCCAGACGAAGTTTTTGAGAAAGGTAAACGCCCAACCGGCCGAATTGCCTGGGCCGATATTGTATTGGTTAGGACAAGTACCGTCGGTATAGATTTTTACTGCTCCAAGCGCACTGGAAGTGCGGGAGGAAGGAGAAGGGGGTTGAGGATTTTTCTGTGCCCTTATTTTTTTTTGGCCCTCTTTTTTTTTGGTGCTTGTCCTAGGGTTTTCCTAGGGAAAACACTATTTTCCTTGCGTTTTGGTGATTTTCCTTGGTTTTCCTACGAAAATATATTCTTTTCCTTGATTTATCCTAGGGAAAACACTGTTTTCCTACATGTTGGACGGATTTGGTGCGATTCTCCTTGGGAGAACCTACATTAGCTCGCGTAAAACGTACATTATCTTAGGTTGTCTTCGGGACAACGCCTTTTTTTACGATCGTGGACGGACTTCGTGTGATTGTCTTTGGTTTTCTTCAGAAAACCTACAATACGTCGAGCGAAGAGTACGTAACCTTGCGTTGTTCTAGGGAATAAACCGTTTGCCGTATATCCTGGACTCATTTTGGACTTTGCTTCTTTTGCTTGGCTTTACCCAAGAGAAACATATTTTGTTGCATCTTGGACAGATTTGGTGTGATTTTCCTTGGTTCCCGTCAGGAAATCTTACACTACCTTGCTGTTGCTGTTGTCGTTGTGGTTGTGGCTGTGGTTAGTGTTGCTGTTGTTGTCTTTGCTGCTTTAGCGGGGAGTTTAGTCGATAAAAAAACGGGGGGGGGGGGCGCGGGGGCGCAGCCCCCCCCCCATTTGCAAACCTTATAAATCCTTCACGATTGGTTGTGTTTTCTTCGCGTGAAACCCTCTTAAGCGTTGTTGTCTGGCTTTCCCCTTCTTGTGTGTTGAATATGCTTTTGTGAATCTCTTCGCGGCTTTACTGAGCGGGGAGTTTAGTCTAAAAAGCGCGGGGGTTGGGGGGGCGCAGCCCCCCCCATTTGCAAACATTTTAAAGCCTTCACGATTGATTGTGTTTACTTCGCGTTAAACCACCCTGAAGCGTTGTTGTCTGGCTTTCTCCTTCTTGTGTGTTGGCCAATACGTTCTTGTTCATGTCTTCACGTCTCTAGAGAGCCGGGAGTTTAGTTTAAAAAAGGGGCGGGGGGGTGGACCTGGGCTTCAAACCGTCTGTCTTCCGTCTTTCTTTTCTTCCTTTGAGTTCTTCTTCCTTGCTTTGGTCCTTGTTCTGGGGTGTTTCGTTCTTTCTTCCTGGGTTCTTTTCGTTTCCGGTGGAAAAACCCAAGAAAAGCACAGACTGGTAAAAAACAGGGTTCAGTTTTATGGACACCATTTACACTCTCGGCGCGTCTTGTCGGAGTGGTAAAAGACAGAGTCCAGTTTGTGTGCCTCATCCTTTATTCATGATCGTCATCTTGTCAAAGTATTATTCTTAGTTTCAGTCTTAAAAAACAGTGTTAACATTGGTCTTGACTTAATTTTTGTTCTAAGTTTTAACCTTAATTATTGTGAGTAGTAACCTTAATATTTTCGCTAGCGTTAGCATCATTATTAGTTTTGTGTCATTACTAATTTTAGAAGTTCTAACAATGCTGCTGGTATTTGTCCAATATTACTGTTCGTTTGATTAATGTTCCTGTTAGTGCTGATGCTGGTGTCAGTGTCAACGTCAGTGTTAGTCTTAATATTAATATGAGTATTAGTGCTCCAGTTTTAATTTAATATATGTCTATAGCAGTGTTAGTGTTAGTGTTCGTGTTAGTATCCGTATTGATATTAGACGTGGGCTGGGCCTTAAAAACTTAGTCTTAGTACATTATGTGTATCAGTATTCATATGTGTATATTCAGTATATTGGTATATAAACAAAACATATATATTAACAAAAACAGTTTTCAGTATACTCGTATATTGGTATATTAGTAACAATGGTTTATTGGTATATCAATTTCTCAACAAATAAGTATATTAATTTTTTAGTATATCAGTATAATACTATAGCCATACATACTGGTAAATGAAAACATTGAGTTTTTAACAATCTGATGCATTCATTTTCTTGTGCCTTATTCTGATGTATTCTTTAGTATACACTACAACAACGATATTGACATTAATTTGATGCTTGTAAAGTCATATTGGTATTGATATTAATATGAGTATGTAATATTCTTTCTATATTTGTATGAGCACAAATAGTTTTTCTAGTATTATGCATGTTCGTACTAGCCGAAGTATTAGTGTTCATATTAATATCAATATTGTTCTAAAGAGATTATTAATGTCGGTATTCGTATTGAGAATAATTTTGTTAAGAACATGAGCATAAATACCCGTAGGAATATTCATACCTATGCTTGTATTGGTATTAATACTCGTATTAGCATGAGTACTAGCATTAGTACGTATCTAGGCATGACGATTCTTATATGAATATAAAAGGGGAACATGATTATTAGTATTCGTAAGAACATTAGTTTTCCTATACATTAATGCTAACTAATATTACTATGCATATTAGTATTAGCAAGAACATTAAAGTTCGTGTTCACATCAATTCTAAAATTGGCATTGGTGCAGTTTCTTCAATAGGAGTAGATACTAGTAGTAGAATTAAAACTAGTATGAACAAAACATGCGTTGGTATTCGTCGGAATATGAAACTTGAGGTTACTCTTCGTATGAGTTACTAGTACTACTGAAAAACATACCAACGCTGATATAAATACGAATGCTAACATTCATGTATGAGCATTTTATTATGCACGTTCGCACTAGCCTTAATGCTAATATTAGCATGACTATGAGTACTCCGAAAATGAGTAGTTTCACGAATATGCATAGCCAATATTCATACTAGCGATAATACTAGCTATAGTATGTATATTAGTATTCGCATCAAAACTATTCTTACAGTGTACATGATTTCTAGTATTCTTGGGAACATCAGTATTCATACTAGCATAACTATCAATTTCACCAGTGGTATTACTATAAGTATTAGTACTCGTACGAGTATTATAATTTTCAAAGTTATCAGCATAATATCAATATTACTACAAGTATCAGTTGCGCAGACCCGTCAACCGGCGACGTCGCGAGGTCGAGTTCCCTAAATTCTGTAATCACTGCTTCCATGCCTCGAATTTACAAAAAGCTTGAGTTCCTGCAGACTCCCTAAATCCCTAAAGTCTTTACCCTGATTTCCAGCCCCATGTGTTGGTTTCAGCGCGTTCCCTAACTTTCCTGACTCCCAGCCAGGACCATGTGTTGGATTTAGGGAATTCCCTACATTCCCTAAATTCCTTAAATTCCTTAAATTCCCTGAATTCCCTAAATTCCGTAATTCCTTAAATTCCCTAAATTCCCTAATTCCCTACCCCATCTGTTGGACTTAAGGAATTCCCTAATTCCCTAAATTCCTTAAATTCCCTAAATTCCGTAAATTCCATAAATTTCTTCAATTCCCTATATTCCCTATATTCCCTAAATTCCCTAAACCTAACCCTTATAGGGAATTCCCTAATTCCCTAAATTCCCTAAGTCCTTACCCCATGTGTTGGATTTAGGGAATGCCCTAAATTCCTTATATTCCCTTAATTCCCTAAATTCCCTACCCATGAATGGAAACCATTGAATCTTATCCATGGGGGTCAGACTTAGGGAATTTAGGGAATTTAGGGAAATATGGAATTCCTTAAATCCAAAAAAGGGGGTAGGGAATTAAGGAATTTAGGGAGTTTAAGGAATTTAAGGAATTTAAGGAAATAGGGAATTACCTAAATCCAATGGGTAGGGAATTAGGGAATTTAGGGCATTCAGGGTTGGTTTTTTTGGGGGGGGGCTAGCTATATATATATATATGTATATATAGGTATATATAGTATATATAGTATATATAGTATATATAGTATATATAATATATATAGTATATAGTATATATAGTATATATAGTATATATAGTATATATAGTATATATAGTATATATAGTATATATAGTATATATAGTATATATATAGTATATATAGTATATATAGTATATATAGTATATATAGTATATATAGTATATATAGTATATAT